TGCCTTTTGGCGCGCGTTGCCGCCTTTTCCAAGAATTTTCAAGTCACCTCTGGGAGGGGACTTGAAAATTGGCCCAAGTTGCCTCGGCGCCCTACGGCCGCCCTCGAGTCTCAGAGCGGGATTTTCTTCAGGCGGGAAGCTTAATCACTTTCCATTGTGATTAGCAGATCTCAAGGGCCTAGTGGAACGGCGCCGCCCTTGAGATATTTTCAAGTCGAGGGTAGTGGAACGAGGTCCATATCCGCGGTGGCTGGAGGAGGCAATGGCGATCGAGATTTGCAGGGCACTCAGAAATTCGTAACAACGTACGAGGACTCCACTGCGCCGCTGCAAATGCCTGTTTCCAACGTCGTGACGCCGTCACCTGCCTCGCGGCGCCATCGTGACGTCACCTACCCCGCGCCGCCGTTGTGAAGTCCAGCACCCAATTTGAAATTTGATTTTCGAATGAGGAGGTCCATTGCTTTTTTAGGGGTTTTTTTTCTCGTTGCCAGCGCCTTTCAAAATTTTTTGCCTTAGGCAGCTCGACCACACCGTAGCAACACGGACATCACCCAATGGACCAAGGCATTGCACCCCCCCGGCGGGCCGACTATAATATTATGAAAATGGCCGCCAGGCCCAAAAAAAGGAATCATCCTTGGACCTTGGGAGACCACCCCAAGGATAGGTGGAACGACAGCGGGAATTTCCTTCAAAACCCCAAAGAAACTTTCTTCGGCCCTGAGGATGCCCCAAGGAGTGTCTAACGAGCCCCATCATCGGAAACCGAACCGGCTCGTGGTAAAACATCTATAGTGGGACCTAGCCACTAATAAGCAGAATAGCACAGACAAAATATTTTTCCATGATCTATGTCAAGAACAACACCAAGTTGTTGGATGTGTTGTTTCCTGCCCCTCCCTTCATCACGTTGGTCAAGAAGCCGCGCATTGATGTTGCAATAAGAAAACCTCTGAACAACACAAAGAAATGCTGATAGAGAAGAAAATATTTGAACCATTTCTCGATTTATGCATATCATCCTTGCACAGGGGCCATGCTAATATTTTCTAAATCGTTCCAATTTTGACGGATGTCCCGAAGGACACAACGATTTCCATACCAAGTCAAAAAGCGTATACAAAAAAACAAAACACAAAGCAAATTTGTTTTTCCTCTTGTTTTTGGGGGGGAGGGTCAGGCTTTCATTCCCAAAAAGTGTTAGCTAGCCAATGATAGAAAGTCTTTTTACGAAAAGAGAGAGAGAGAGAGAGAGAGAGAGAGAGAGAGAGAGAGAGAGAGAGACAGACAGACAGACAGACAGAGGTGTTAAGGAGAGGTATGTGCAACCATGATGCCTTGTCCTCATTCTTCACTTTTGCACATCTTGGAGTATGTGCGTGTTGAGTCTGCGTCGGAGCTACGCTGTCCCTTCCAGCTCCATCTCTACCTCCTTCGTCAACCCTTCTTCTCCATCATGACGGACCGCCATCCCGGCGGGTCCGACACACTGGTATCAGAGCGTGAACGGTCTCCAACCCGCCCACCCTCCCGTAACAGGGAGAAATCGATGTAATCCCGAACGGGGAAAATTGGTAGCGTGCAGAGGCGGACACGTGGCGAAAAAGGGAGCTGCTGTCACGACGCGTGTGCGAAGGCCAAGGCCGCCGCACTCGCGCATGCGCCATGCGCCCACGCTGCCCCGCCCCGGTCTCGGATTATTATTATAAAGATCCGGGATGCTGCAGCTCCCAGGATTTGAACCTGGGCAGCTGCTGCTCATGCACGTGTGTGGCCAGTGCCTTAACACACTTGCAAAAGCCACAGTATGAGCTAATACAAATTTTCTGTTTTTTTTCTTTTACTTAATCTTTTTCAACACATTTTGACCCCTTGGGGGTAACGAAGTGCAGGCAAAATTTTCAAATTTTACTTAGTCTTTCTTCTTGATGGCACACTTCGACCCCATGGGGGTAACGAAATGCTGCCAAAAGTTTTGAAAAAACCCAACACTTAGTTTCTCTTCACCCCCTCATCTACTTATTTTTTTATTTATTTTTTTGAAATTTATAATTTGCAACATTTTGAACTTTAGTGTGCTCATCTTGATCTCTCCTTCCTCTTGGAACATTCTTGACCCCTCAGGGGGTAAGGAAATGCTGCCGAAAATTCAGGAAAAAAAGAAAAAAAACACTTCTCTCTTCACATTTTGTTTATTTATTTCTTTAATTATTTTTATTATTCATTTTTTTTTTTTTTTTTTYTTGATTAGGTCGCCGCTACCCACCCCTAAACACCAGAACCCCGGTTAGGGTTTTCTTATGGTTATCTAGGGTTTAGGGTTCTCCTACCCCCCCCTACTCTCCCACCTTCGCCCGTCGGGCACCGTGGATCCGAACAACTCCTCGCCCATCGACCGGATTCGGGCCACCATCTCATTACGAGCTCAATATATACGAGTGTTATTTTGTGAGATTACCCGGATCTTAAATCATCTACTTGCATTAACCACCCATGCTATGGATGTAGGAGCATTAACCCCTTTTCTTTGGGCTTTTGAAGAACGAGAAAAATTGTTAGAATTTTATGAAAGAGTTTCGGGAGCAAGAATGCATGCTAGTTATATACGACCATTGATTTCACGCGCAGTGTGTTTTTTTTGTTGAGTTCCGGATACACATAAACAAAAACCAATAGTACTGGCAACGTATCCTGCATAAATACAAGGAGGATGTATAGCCAATACGGGGTCTTGTAGTACAGGGTTGAATTCTTTTCCCGAATCAGTGCTTAAAAAGGAAATTCGAAGAAAAGGATTGGAGGTTAAACATAAAAAAACAGAGAAAAATAAAGCAATCCATTTGTGAATCATAAAAGGGGCACCAGTCAAGGCAACTTCGTTGCGAGTTCGAAAACAAAAGACAAAACCATAAAGACTCAGGATCCAACACCATAATAAAAGACTACCTTCATGATTCGACCAAGTTCCAGAAACTTTATAAAACAATGGTAATTGATTATTTGAATTTGTAAAAACGCTATAAATAGAGAAATCAGAAGAAACATAACAAAACAAAAAGCTAAAAAAACAGATGGTTAAAACGAGAAAGTAAAGCGTAAGAGGTCGCGGGCTGCTTCACAAGTAGAGTAGAGAGGCAAGCAACAAAGCGCTTGTACAACGTCTCTAATCTAATTAAATTAGATTAGAATAGAATGTCGGTCGACCGTATATTTGAACACAGAACAGCTCCCTAGGTTGGATTCGAACCAACGACCCAATAGATAGGGTAAGCAGTGTGTGTAATCTGACTAAGCTTCCCTCCGAACCGTGCGTGCAAGATTTCCAAGCACACGGCTCTCCATCAGTTTGGCAAGACTACTGACTGTTTCCCTTCCATTTTCATGTACTATGGAAACTCTGACGCCACACTTCGTGCCGGCACACGGACAAATCATCTCATGCTATATTGCATTTAATTCCTTCTTATATATTTGCGCAGCACTAAGAGGCGGCAAAACAAAAGTTGCTTCGCTTGTAGTCTCTGAGGCTCCTCTTCGATCAAACTATGGCGAGCCTGCTGATTGACCAATGAATTTGGAACTTCCAACTCTAAGGCGTTTCCAGCATATACATGACTTTCACAAAACGTATATAATAAAAGCAACTAATACAGTTGCATTAATTTAATTAACAAAAAACAAAACCACACATATGCCTACAATGAATCAATTAATTCGTCATGGTAGAGAATCAAAACGACGTACGCAACGTACTCGAGCTTTAAATCAATGTCCTCAAAAGCAGGGAGTATGCCTTCGTGTTTCTACAAGAACACCCTTTTTTATTTAATTTAAATTACATAAGGTGCCATTGAGACTATTTTCAAATAGCGTTTTTTTCGTAGTTCATGTGTCACACAACCTAAAATTCTCGTACCAATAGGCAAACCATTATTGATTAAAACAACAGCATTTCTATCAAATTGTAAATAACTGCCATCTTTTCGGTATTTGGTGGCTTTTTTTGTTTCCACTACAATAGCTTTAAGCACATTCTGAGTGTTGCGACCCAATAATGCTTGAATCTATTGAATAATGAATGTTTTTCATTAAGATCAAATGAATATATATATCTTCATTAGATCTTAATATGAATGTTTAATATTTGTCACATTGATTGTTACAATTACACTACAATATTCTCTTTATAGTAATACAATAAATATATTATATTATTATTTCTATCCTTAATAATTAGATAATTATATCCTTTTTTATATTTAAGAGAGAAAATTTTTATAATAAGCTTATTATAAAATAGAAAGAGCATTTTGCCATATTGAAAGGATGAAATTCGGATATAAACCTATTATAATTACTGGAATGAACGCCTTCATACATAGATAGGCATCAGAGAGCCTTTCCCGAACCGTATGTGCAAGTTTCCTCGCATACAGCTCTCACGGAGGTCCTTAGTTAGCGACTGTAAGTAAGCCGGCAGAGGCTTGGCAACTGCGACCTGGATGGACGCCGTGTGAATGATCAATCAAATCTGTGTTCTCCATAGGACCCTTTGTGATGTCTGGCATCAATCACTACTATGGTCCCTCGCGACCCGCCGGTCACGGGGCGAGCCAACTAACGACTACCCACTCCCCTCTCGCGGTCCCCTCCCTCTCACCAGTGGTCCCCTGTCCCCATACCACAACCCATCTCCTCCCCCCCTCCCACAATGTCTACCTCTCTTCCTTTACCGCACAAGTACATGGCTACAGCTGAGGAGATCGTCGCGGCGTCATCTACCTCTCAGGTGTCCACCCACCCAACGGTCCAGGGTCAGCCCTCTGTGGACCTCACAGACCTTCGCATTGTTCTTGCGTCGCTCCTTGCACCTCTGCAAGCGCGACTCGATGCGCTTGCACCCGTGAAGAGGCAAGTCAATGCGCATGCCCTTGAAGTTCACCACCTCAAGGGTTCTCCTCATCGCTCTCCCCACCGCTCTCAAACTTCATCCCCTACCGGCTCTAAGTTCGGATCTCCACGACTGCAGGAACGGAGACGTGGTGGTTCGTCCTCCTCCGCGGGTCAGGCCCAACACTCCCCCTTTGAGGTGGTGAGTGTTGCTGCCGCTAAGACCATACTATCTGCTGCTACACATCCATTGGTTCCCGCCTCCCCTGCCGCTTCGGCCACTACCGCATGTGTTGTCGCCCAGATACCGGTATTTGGCCAGGCAGTTTCATCTACCCACCCCGGTGTGAGAGAAGGTTAACGGAGACCCTAATTTTCAGACCACTTGCCATACCATTTGTATGAAAACCAAAGGGTCATTTTAATCAAACTTGCCACCAATTTGTAGAGTGGAGACCATACTAACTAACTGCAAAACAAAATCCAAAAATAAAAAATAAAAAACATATAAAACGGCAAGGCAAAAGTGCATTTTCATGAAATTTCGCCAACATCTCAATTTCAAAAATCTTGAGAAATTTCAGAAATCTTAATAGAGGAAATTCCAATTCTCAAAATGACACAAAATTTAGCACAACCAAAACAAGAACAGGCAAAAAAAATTAAAAAAACATAAAATTTGACCCCGAAACCCTACACGTGCGCTGACACTGACTTACACTCGTCAGGAGTTGTGGTGCTCCACGCTCACAACTAAATTGCGAGGCAGCGCGTTCTCCGCATGAGATAACTATTTTGCCCATCGTACTCGATCAAGTGAGCATCCCACTCTCGCGGATTTCTCTGCGTTCCTCCATGACCGCTACCAAACTCTCCACGATGGGACTGGCGCCTTAGATCGGGTCACCCAGACGCAGTGGCGCGGGTCCTCCGCACCAGCTGATCTTGAGCGTTACATTAGAGTGTTTCAGGACGCTCGCCTCATTTGCGATGGGGCAGTCCTACCTGAGGTCATTTTAACCAACAGGTTCATTGTCAGTCTTCCGACTGACTACCGCATCGAGCTTTGGCGACAAAGCTTCACCTCCTCCAAGCAGGCCTATGAGGTTGCTCGACCGTACCAGAAGATGCGGAGTCGCTTCTTCGACACCCCATCTTCTTCGCGATCCACCGCCGCCGCCACCCAGTCACGCGGCACCACGCGCGGTCGATCCTCCTTTGCCAGCCGCTTTCGCCAACCAGCTCGACCTGGAGCGCCGAATGGCGCTCTAGTTCTCTAGAGTACGGCGAGGACGCCTCGGCCGAGCTTGACCCTACACTTGGAGAACCCCCAAGAACATCGAGCTCTGAGACGTCATCCAGTATCATTTGGATAACGACAATGTCCCGGTGGTCGAGCGCCTGTAGATGGCCATGTCCGCCATGTGTGGTGCACGCAGTCAGGTTGCGCAGGCAGGCGCCCGCACGATCACGGTTCCTCAGATAGACCTCCCGCAGGGTTTTGTTCCTCCTCGCAGAGCTCTATCTCTTGAGGAGCGCGCCACCCTCGAGGCCCGTCGCAGCTGCCTTTGTTGCCGCAAGGATGGACACACCTCCTCACGATGTTCATACCATGCTGCCCTCGATCGACACCACGCTGATATTTCTCGTCAGCGCCGATCTCAATCCCGCTTGGCCCCGCCCGGCCAGCCCCACCTAGCTAGCCATGGTGAATTGTACCACTAAGGCCTCGCACGTAGTCGGCTTCCCGACCACCGAGTCGCAGTTTGCCCCTTCGGCTACCCTACCAGAGGATCCTCAGGACACGACAAACGCAGTTCCCTCTACCTCGCCATCTGTCGAGGTACTGTCTACCCTACAGCAGACCACCGCATCTAGCCCTTCCCCTCCAAGACTTCCGAGGCGTCGCGCCATTCGCTCAACTCGTTGTAGTGCCCAGTTGGCGACTCGCGATGACGTTGTGTCATTTCTCTTGGACTTTAGCATCCTTCAGGCTCCCCAGGAGCGACTCACGAGATACGTAAACGTTGCGTCGTCTTCTCACTCCGCTCTCTGACCCTGATCGCACCCTCCCCATTATCCCTATTCACCTGGGGACATCTACGAAGGTGCATCGCGTTTTATGAGACTCTGGCTCGCAGGGAGACTTCGTTCACCCTCGCGTGGTTGGGGAAGCTCACCTGGCTGCCTCCGGGTCTCGCTCTCCTATTTTTGTTACCCTCAGTGATAACAAGACGAAGTGCTCCTTTCATCAGACGGTTCCAGATCTCCACTTCTCCTTCACCCTCCAGCCATTGGATAATACCCAGTCGCCTCGGCGCTACCATTCCTCACCATACTTCGACGTGCTGGAGACTGGGTACGACTTTATCCTTGGCATTCCCTGGTCTCGCCGGTTCCGTGGCACAGAGCCCGAATGGGCGACTGAGACACTCGTCCTCAAAACGAAGCGTGGTCAAACCCATCGAGTCCCCTTCATTGGAACCACGGGCGACACCCCTCGAGACCTACCTCCCCAGGACCCTCGTCCCTCTGGGTCCCATCCAGACATCGCCTTCACTTCTCCTCGTCAGTTTGCTCACTTCATACGACAGACGGACGTCACATTCTACTTCGTAAACATAATGGATCTTCTTCGCTACGATCCACTCTATCGTGAGCTTGAGCTCATCTCATTGGAGCTCGATCCCCCTGACCCTTCCTCCATCTTCGCGGCTCCCATCTCCACATCCACCCGTCAACCTACGGATACCCCCTCGACATCCCAGGTCCCTTTGCCGGTCGCTGCCAAGTCCACCCATACGTCTCGTGCCGACGTAAACGTTAAGGACCTCATGTCGTTCACGACCGACTTAGAGCCCGCCGTTCGCGATTTCATTCGAGAGTACCTAGAGGTTTTCCCCTCGTACTTTTCATACAGCGGGATCCCTCCCATGCGAGGTGTTGAGCATTCTATCCAGCTAGTGCCGGACTATCGTGTCCACCATTAGGCACCCTTCCAACTCTCGATTCCAAAGGGGCGGGAACTCAAGCGTCAGCTTGAGGAGCTCCTTCGACTAGGTTTCATTAAACCCAGTAACTCCCTTTGGGGTGCACCCGTCCTCTTTGCTCGCAAAGCGGACGGAACTCTCTGCCTTTGCATTGACCACCATGGCCTTAACCGTTACAGGGTTAAGAACAACTACCCCATGCCTCGCGGTGATGAGCTGTTTGACCATTTGGCACGCAACCGCTTCTTCACGAAGATCGATCTTCGTAGCGGTTACCACCAGATCCGCGTAGCCACAAAGGATGAGTCGAAGGCCGTCTTTCGGTCGCGCTTTGGCCACTACGAATTCAATGTTATGCCATTCGGCCTCACCAATGCACCCACCACCTTCCAGACGGCGATGAACGACATCTTCAAGGACATCCTTGAAGAATACGTTCTTATATGACACCTCCACGATGTCCTCCAGTGCTTACGCAACCATGGCTTCTATGCCAAGCTTAGTAAGTGTCGCTTTGCCTAGCAAAGTGGACTTCCTAGGACACCATGTGTCTGACCAGGATCTACACATTAATGACACGAAGAACACTGCTATTGCAGAGTGGCCCGTCCCCACATCTGCCAAGCAGCTTCACAGTTTTCTAGGACTCGCTAGTTACTATAGTAATTTCATTTGGGGATACAATAGGTATTCATACGTCCTTACCTCCACCCTCCTCCTGAAGAACCCGCCATGGTTTTGGACACCCCTCTGCGAGGATGTTTTTCTCGCCCTCAAGAAGGCGGTGACTTGTGCGCGAGTTCTTCGCCTCCCCGATTTTGATCGTCCCTTTATCGTCACCACCGATGCGTCAAATTTTGCAGTAGGAGTTGTCCTCTCTCAGGTGTTTCCCTCTCCTATGGGTTCACCTTATACCCATGTTCCTCCTTTCCCCCCCCCCTCCTGCTGACACTGCTTCTCAACGGATGCCTACCCTCCCACCACTTCCCTCCACTGACAGTCCTCCCATTACTTACTCCCTGACCATCGCAGAGCATGGGACTGTCAAGGCTCGTGTTGGGGATTTCCCGATCGCCTTCTACTCCCGTCAGCCACTGCCTGCCGAGATAAACTATAGTGTCGATGAACGTAAGGTTCTCGCACTAGTTTATGCTACCCGACATTGGCGTCATTACTTGCACGGGGCGCCCTTCACAGTGCACACGGACAACTCAGTTATCCAGGCTTTCCTCATGAAGCCCAAGCTTTGCCCTCGACAGGCACGTTGGTGGCGTGACTTATCCGAGTTCAGTTTCACCGCTTAGCCCATCAAGGGTGAAACGAACCGCGTCGCCGATGCCTTGTCCAACCGTCCTGATCACAATTAGGAACCCATCCATCTTGTTGCCATCTCCATCACCACTGTTGATCAGTCGGTGATAGACGCATATCGCACTTAGTACCGCCACTGCCCTGATTATCACGTCATCCACGCAACACAGCGGAGTGGCAAGACCGTTTCCTCATACTCCTTCGGTGAGAACGGTCTCGTGTACTGGCATGGTAGATCTGGTCAGCTAGAACCACGTATCGACGTTCCCTCCACTAGACAGTTCCGTGTCCAGGCTGTAGCAAAGTTCCATGACCAGGCAATGGTCGGTCATATGGGCTTCCACAAGACGTTTGCTCGTGTTTGCAGCCTACCCGTCTGGCCAAAGTCCAAGGACTTGGTCAAAGCCTACATCCAGGAGTGTCCTACCTACCAGTAGATGAACAGTGCGAACCACCTTCCGTATAGGTTACTTCAGCCCTTACCCATACCCGAGGGTAGTTGGCAGTCCATCTCGATGGATTTCATTGGTCCCCTCCGCCCACCTACTGAGCGCGGTCATGATGCTATCTTAGTCTTCGTAGATCGCTTCACGAAGCATGCACATTTTCTCCTGTGCTGCTATCGCGTTAGCGCTCGTGAGGTCAAGACATCGTCTTCGACTGAGTCATAATAGATCACGGCTTACCTCATAGCATCATCTCCGACAGTGACCCACGCTTTACCAGCACATTCTGGCGACTCCTACAGTTCTCATCGTCTTACCACCCTCAGACGGATGGTCAGACTGAGGTCACTTATACATTTAT